TATAAAATTATTTTAATTAAAATTATTTATTAATACTAAAAGATTTATATTTAATTTTTTTATATTTTTTAAATTAATATTTATCAAATAATAATATAAAAATACCATAAAAAAATTTTTTTTTTAAAAAAAAATTATTTTTATTTATTAACTTTATATTTTTTAAAAAAATAATTATATTATTATAATTTTTGAATTTATCAAATTTAAGTTATAAAAACTAATTAATTTATTGCCAATTAATATACAATGCTAGAAATCAATAAATAACAAAAATTTAATAAATTTTATTACCATACAATATATAACTAATTAATAAAATTTGTTTTACAAATTTTAGTATAAATAAATCAATAAATAATATAAAATGAAGTTTTATCATTTTAATAAAAAAAAATTTTTTTTAATAATTAATAACAAAAAAAAAAACATAATTTTGTTATATAAAGTATAATTGATTTGTATAAATGGATAATAAAAATAAATTATTTTATATATAGAAGAATTTTAATTCTGTTTAGTAAATAAATAATATGTATCTGGAGATTTAATGTTGCTGACAGATGAGTTGGGTCAAGTAGGTTTATACATGCAATCTTTATTATAATGATTCAACATGATTTAATAAACAAGTGACTCCAGTCTGATTGAAGGTTAAAAAACAATGATATTTTTATTTTACATAATACAATGATTTTATTGATCATTTTTCATTATACCTAGGTCTTTTACAAAAAAAATGGAAGGGAAATTATACATGGAGGATTTTAGTAAGCGTTGTATAGTACAGTGTATACATTGAAATATGTGAATCTAAATTCTTATTATAATTTATGTTTATTCTCTTTAACTTGTTGGAGTAACGCTGCTCGGAGTTAAATATCTTCATGCCGCTTTTTTGTTACTGTAATTGTTACCATAACAGTTATCTGCATTGTTAGTCATATGACAATGAAATCTTTAAATTGAATGAATACGTACTGCGTATCGATATTGTATCTTGTCATTCAGTACATGCACGGCAAAATGCTAACACTATATACCTTTTTGTCGAACGATTTTATGAATTTGTTTCGAAGTAGTGTGGATTATGATGTTATTATTGAAGTTGGCGAGGTTCCTTATAACAAGTCATATAAAGTGCATTCCCTTATCTTACAATCCCGTAGTAAAAAATTGAAAAGGGATTTAAGCGAGATTAGGTACAATAATGATAACATCAAAGTATTAAAGATGCCCCATATTCCTGCAGTGGTTTTCGACGTTATCATCAGGTATATTATGTTTAAACATAATACATAATAGTAATTTATTAAAATTCATTATGTTAATTAGGAAACTTTCGATTATTTTAGCTACATTTACAGTGGCGTTATTCCAGTAGAAACTATCGACCCTTCAGTTATCTTCGATCTTTTAATCGCCTCTGATGAATTTTGTCTTGACGGATTGATTGAACAGATCCAAAATTACCTCACTAACAACTGTACTCACTGGTTGATATTACACTTTGGTCAAGTTTACTACGAAGTTTTTCGTAGAAAGAACTTCTATCTTATTCAAAATTTTTGCAGTAATATTATCGAACAACATCCTGACACCGTGTTCAAGTCCGAATACTTAATCCCACTTCCTGAGGAAGTATTAGTATCTATTCTTAAGCGTAGTGATTTACAATCGGAAGAGATTAAAATTTGGGATTATGTACTAAGATGGGGAAAATCCAGAAATCCAAACCTACCATCTGAAATTGATAAATGGACAAGTGAAGACTTCATGATGTTAAAAACAACATTAAAACAATGTCTGCCGTTAATTAGATTTTTTCATTTTCGAGGAGGCGACGTATATCATAGACTCATGCCATATGAACCAATTTTTGAACGCGACTTGTGGAGGGATATTATGAGAAAAAATTTAGCACCTGAAGAGCCAATTTCCTCTGTAATTTTACCACCTCGGATGCAAATGTCTACGCCTCAAGAGTCAACACAAGTGCCAACACAGCCGGCGCAAATGTCAACAAATTTGATGCAAACACAAACACAGTCGGTGCAAATGTCAACAAATTTGATGCAAACACAAGCACAGTCGGTGCAAATGTCAACAAATTTGATGCAAACACAAGCACAGTCGGTGCAAATTCCAACATTACCGGTGATAAAATCACAGATCACGCAAATGCCAACGCAACCGACGCAATCACAGATCTTGCAACCGGAAACACAAATCATGCAAGCGCCAACACAACCGATGCAAACACCAACACAACCGATGCAAACACCCACTCAACCGATGCAAACGCCCACTCAACCGATGCAAAGACTAACAGAACAGGTAGACGCAATCAAATTGGACTCTTCCCCTCAAGTAATGCAACCACAACAATTATCGGATGTCATCGAACGAGTTGTAGCCATGTGGGATTATACCGGTTAGAGTTAGGCAGTTTTTGGAGGAGTCTAATAATAATAATTTATTGACTCATATTTTTTTTAAAGGGGAGGATGATGAGAACGATCTATCCTTTAAAAAAGGCGACATCATAGAGGTTACCGAATATCGTGAGTCTTCAAACAAGTTTTCTTTTCAACATTTTAATTGCATGTAAATTGCTTATTCGTTCTTTTGAATTATAGTAAGCGAAGGGTGGGGGAATGGTCGTATAGAGGGAAAAAATGAAGAAGGTGTATTTCCATTAAATTACACTAAAAAATTGTAAGTTTCATAATTGAGGTCTGTAATTGGCGATTTTTATTGGTCCTGATTAGAAAAAATCTTTCTATTACGCGACCCTTTCCTTTAACAGACATACCGAATCATCACAGAGTATCTCAGTACCCATGCCTAATCCACCGTTTGTACCAAAGATACCTCGACAGCCAGGTTACTGAATACCTAGTGTATGCACAATTTCTTAACTGGAGCTTATTATTTGCAGTTTTAAGATATTCAGTATTTTTTAAATATTTAAATCAGAACTGTTTTATTTTTTTAACCATTATCGACAATCCGGTAGACATAAAATTTTTTTTTTTTTACTCTTGCTCATTATGGATAAATTTATATTCCTCTATAGAAAAAAACGATTATCAGGTCGCCTATATTGGCTGTATAGAATGCTCACAACCTTAAATTGTCACATATGTCTGTTGTGTTTAAAAATTTCTATTCCGATTCCTGTAATCGAAAAAATATTTGTTTCAGATTCTTCAGTGTCCAGTGTATCCATTGAAGATGGGTCACAGACATCAATGAACTTGGATGTGATCAGTCGAATTTCTTGATTATTTCCCCAACCATGTACAGAATCACCCAAGTCTAGAGAAGAAATTGCCCATAGATTCAAACGCTGGTCCAAAGATGTGCTAAGTATCAGGGAATCATTGATAACACAAATTCCTATATTGATAAAGAATATGAATGGCTTTCAAGGACAAATGGAGGAAAAATAAAGAAACACGTATATTAAACTACCTTGCAAAGATGAGCCATGAGCTGCATTCACCCTCATGCTATCTCTATCATTATTCGATTTTATTGTCAGCCGAAAATTCGCAATGCATTCTTTATCTGCATCGCATATATTCCGTTCAACATCCAAAAAGTACACAGCTATAGAATTGTCATCACCACCGGTTACAATCATATAAGTTTGTTTCGTCTTACTATTGACCAACCGACGGTAAGCAATACAATTGACCCCAGATTGGTGAGCTTGGTAAAAATAAATGGGATCGCACAGATCCAAGTTAAAAGTACGATCTTTGATATTTACATCATACATGTGTATATTTCTAAAAGTGAGATAAAATCCAATAGGTTAATGATAAATAAAAAGAGAGTGGACATCAAATTTCACATCTATTTACCTATGAACCAGTTGTGAAATATCAAATATGGCAACTCTAAAATAAAAAAGGGGTGAATTCTCTTGCCAAAAAGAAAAAGTAAACGAAATAAGGAATTCACCTTCCGTCGGTAGCTGAGGTAAATAAAATCATACCATCTTTGTTCATACCATCAAAAGCTGAATATATAAGAGTGAGGTGAATGGAGATGCAAGATCAAATATGAGGATATAAAAGGAATACCTTCTACCACCAAATGCTTGACCTGCAAAATGCATTTAAAATGGAATCTAGCATATCCAATCAACAAAAAGTCCCGAATATATTCATCAAAGAACCATATCTGCAATAAATATTATTCATAATAAAAATCAGGTGTTCATCGAGTCCAATCAAATTCAAGGATAATTACAAATCATACTCTTAATGTAGAATCCGAATAACCAGCAGCAACTAAATGTATTCCTTTTGTAGAATCAATTGAGTGGACGGCAATGTCCATTATTCTGGTTTCGAGTATGTCACTGTGTATAGAAGTTCAAATTTAATGATATTAATTAAATAAATAACGTAATATCGAACATTAGATACCTCATAGGCGAACACGATGCCCATTCGAGACAATTGACATTGACAGGTTGGAAATCCGAATTTTCTACATTTTCGTTTGCCGATTCAATTTCAACTTTCCAACATCTCAACTCTTCGCTGGCACCACTCGAAAATAACAACAAGTTTTTACCTAATGTAAAAAAGGTCGATATTAGCAACTATAAACTATAGTGTAAAAATGAATTATTTAGATTTACCATAACTCCACTCTATGCTGCGGATCACAGAAGTGTGTTTCTTGATATTACACAAGTTAATCAAAAGGTTCTCTTTTTCACCATTGATATCTGCAAATATGCATACAAATATAGAACATTTTCTGTGATCAATACGTTGTGATTAAAATATTTCAAAGAGTTAATACAGCCGAACCTTACACTGAGATATTCTTAATCTGCCATCCTCCGCCCCTGATGCAAGTATTATTGGTTTCTTTTGAAATTGATTTACTTCTGGAACCACCTCTTTTAATCAGAAAAGAATTAATAATATGAAAAGTTTACACATCATGTAATGTTAATACTCACTTAGAAACCTCACAACCCTACATTCCCTTCCATGAAAATTCTTCTGCAACTCACACTCATTGAAACCTCCATTGAACGCTGTATCTTCCCTGTGATAAATGAACACCTGTCAAGAGGTGTTGTCCATAAATGCAAATAAACATGAGCGAGATGTTATTTCAAGTTAATTGACATATATAAAAAATAATAAATACATTTTCCTTGCGAACGAACATAAAATTAGCTTTATCCATCCTTCCGTCCTGGGCTTTGAAATACCACGCTCGGTGGGCCCCACCACACGCAACCGAAAACATCTAATAGTAGTAAAATACTAGTTAAACTAAGAAATTCGGATACCCGTGGAGGGTGTCATCTTATTACCTCAAATTTTTTAACCTCGTTATAAACAAAAAATCTCTTTCGGTAGAACCCTAGAAGTATCAATTCACCATCTATGAGCAGTGCCTTTGGGGTGACATAACATGAGTATATTTGTTTTTCTATAAGCAAAATAAAAATTTCCACGTAAATCATAGTTTGACACCAACTTTTTCCAACCATCCTTTGGTAATTTTTGCTCGATATACTTCTTCTAAAATTAAGCCATGACCTGAGATAAGTTCTTTTTTCAATTTTTTCTTTGGTTTCTCATCGTCATCACCACTGTAATCAGCTTCAATCTCCTCTTCATAATCTCCAATATAAGAAGAATCATCAATTTTTAGAACAGCGGAATTTTTTTTGTATGTTATCATTCCTTTCAGTCGATATTTAACATAACAACCATCTCTGCCCGTGGTGTATATCATTAGGACCTCCTCATCATTCGGACTTTCGAATTTCTCAAGATTCAAAGCAACAGAGGTTACCGACTGCTTTCTATGCGTTTCGCGTAAGTAAATAATTGGAGAACGCTCTTTCACGGGATGATTTGTCATCGAGGTGTATGATTGTGCAATATCATATATAGCCAACCCGCCATAGCGTGAACCACAGATCAACAAATTATGCGGAGAACAAATTGAAAGGGACATAAGCAAGAATTCGTCAGGGATGGATAGTTTATGTAATACATCTAAAACTGAGTCCTAGATATGTTATGTGAGATAAGCACAAATTCACAAATATTCAAGAAGAAAGTTTGAAGGCATACTTGATTATCGCCATTCAAAGTTAGTTTTAGTAAAAGAACATCACTTTGAACTGCATGCGATACTAAGTAAATTGTATTTGGATCTAGAAGCAACAAATGATGTTAACATTATCGTTACATTAAATATTTTATCTTTGCTTGTGCTGACCTTCAGTTTTCTCCAAAAATATCTCAAAGATTTTCGATTCGTGTAATTTCCTTTTTATGACCTTTGTCAAAAGAATTAAATGATAAGTGATAAATGAAGGTATATTGCGATTTTTAAAATAACCATTTTTACGGCTCACCTGAAAATCTTGATTCACACTGATTACATATAAATGACCATCAATGCTGCCACAGCACACGATTCTTCCACATTCTGACGCTTTCATCATTGTGTAATTCTGTAGGTTCGATGAGTTATATAAAGAGATCCACTCATTTGTGAAATTATCATGCTTCAATAGATATCTTAATTATAAGGTAGTAGGTTCAACGAAGTTAAGTTGATTTGGAAAACCGAAAGAGTAAATGTTTGTAGAATTGCTCACCCATAATTTGTCGCAATAACCATAACGCGATAGTCTATCAATACAAAATTCCGAACGTGTTCTCGTGAAGGTAATTTCACCTAATGAAAGAAAAATAATAATAAAACAAAGAAAAAGAAAAATGGATTCATCATGTATTGAACCTACATTCTGTTGGGCATACGATTCGGGAGGTGGCAATAATATCTTTATCAAATCTTCCTCCGAGTCTATAGACATGAGGAATGCTTTTAATATCACACTCAACAACGATTGAAGGGCCAAGATCGTGCCACCGCACCTATCTTGTTATTCGTAATGGCCGAGAGAGACCATAGTCGAATGCCAGAATCTCCTCCGCCTGTCACCTATGATAGATAAAAACTAGAATTTTTCAACGATCATTTAAAATATATACTATATATCATACTTACCACCACCTTTTGTGACGGATTTATTGCCAAGCTCCAAACATTCTTGCCAACGTGTCCTTCCCAGCAGGCAAGACAATAAACGTCACTTAGGTCATCCTCGTTGTTTTTATTGAACGAATTTTTCCACACGCGACAGGTTGAATCCTATCCATGATTATTAGTTGGTTTGATTAGTCACATGTAGGCATCATGGAACGTCCAAGGAGGTATTACCTCGGAAATGCTGACAAGATAATCATTTAATATATGACAATCCCAAATTCTCGCGACATGTCCATATAACACCAGTGGTTTTGCACTTCGAAGGGATAAATATTCGCTAAATCATAATTATAGCATGCGACTCAGTCGAGGTGATTACCTACTTGTCATCGGAATCCGTTTCCCACAGACGTATGGTCCTGTCATCGGATACTGAGACAATAGATCTCCCGTTTTCACTAAACCTCACGCCAAAAATGACGCCCTGTGTATTAGAGCGTATCAATAATTTGACATGGATTCGTTTTTGAAAGTTAAAATGATACTTAACACACCTCGTGACCTACAAATTTCTTGCTTACAACACCTAGACCATGTTCATTTTTTTTCATGACATTCCATAAAAGAACCTGATTAAAAACTGTTCCCGACGCCAAAATCAATCCTTCTCTATTTTCACCGAAAAATCTTGCCGAGTACAATATGCAACATTCTTCGCACTGGATCGAATACGCGCAAGAATTATCTTTCACATTCCAAATTTCCACAAAGTTGTGCGCGAAAGCAATGGCTAACTCCGATGGAAATTTTGGTTCCTGAACATAAGAATTTGATGTTGTAGATGAGAACATATATATATTCTGAAAGATTAATACGCTTTAATAAGGAAAAAAAAAAGAAAAATTCTTGCATTACCGATGTTGCCAAGTTCTCGTACAACCAACAGACATCATGCACCCAATCTTTTAAAGGAGGCAATTTTGAAACGAGATTGAATGCACAATCTGGCAGTTTTCTATTCAAGGAAACGATTTGTAAGAATTCTCAAGAGATATTGTGATTCTTAGAACTCACTCTTCATGACTGTATGTTACAATTACTTCTACAAGTTGTACGGTTTTCGATCCATAAATCGCAATCAATCTTCGCTCTTTCAAAAAGTCTTCTCGAAAGACTGAAACTTTTCTGACATATTTTTCTTATAATAAATTTCCGATCAAGAAAATGTGCTTGAATGAAGTAAATTAAACCGTGCGTACAATTGATTAGACTACCTGGCACAATTCCATGTATCCTAAAATATTCCAGCGCCAGACTACTATTCATCAGTTCTCCAGTAGGGACATAAAAAGCTTTCAAGCAAGGCCCTTGTCCAGAAAACAATATTGTGTCGTTATGGAAACAGAGACTCGTAACTGGGCCAGCATAATACAACCTTTCGAACTGCGTTTGTTTTTTGCAAGTTAATCGATATCATTAAAAAATCGGTAAATTGTGCACAAATTGCAATTTAATAATATAACCTTTTCACTTTCGACATCCATTGCTAGGTAATTCGAGCATCAAGTTAAAATTGGATTGATAACCGAAATCGATTGATTTGATAGGCGATTGGTAAATCACTAATTCTTTCCTCAGATTTTCTTACTTCGGGAATGGAAACTCGTCAATTCATCACCAATTCGGTCAAAAATTTAAAGTATTTCTCTTACCGAAATATCGTTTCATATATAAATTACTCGAAATCATGTGCATCGTATTTGAAGAATTATCGGATTCACGGGAGATGTCAGTTTCTACATAAAAGATGGCAAACAACATCAAACTCGGTATCTTTTTTTACTTGGCCCATCTATCAATTACTGATCTTCATAAATCAAGCGAATTCTTCGATTTGATAAACTGAAGGACGAGAGAAGCATCGACTTGAAAAAATTTCCCGCAGAAAACATTCGTAACTTTAGCATCATTGCTCATGTAGGTATGTAACAGGATGAGATGTTAATCTAACTTCACTGTCCACTTTTTTCTCACTAGATAAAATAAAATTTTGTTATAGATCATGGTAAAAGTACTCTAGCAGATAGGTAGAATAAAATGTCTGGTACTTAAAAAGTATTTTGTTAAATTAATTATAAATTCGTCATACGACGTCATCTAATCAGACTTTTAGAACTCACCGGTGAATATCAATTCCTTTGTAATTCGGTCGCTCTCATACAATCAATTGATGTTTTCATGTCTCCGTTAGAAACGATATCTCCAAAACGCGATAATCAGCAAGTTCTAGATAAGTTAACTGTGGAAAGAGAAAGGGGTATTACCGTGAAGGCACAGGTAAATCTTTTTTTGACGATTGATGTTTTGTAAAAATTTTTGTCCCGTGCAAATATTTACCATCATATATAACTTTATTTCAGACATGCTCCATGTTTTACAAATTTAACGAAAAACAATATTTACTTAACTTGATTGACACGCCAGTAAGTGATGAGTGGAAGTTTGCTGCTGCCTGATGTAGAGCTATAATTTATCCTCTAATTATCAATAACGGTAAGGGTCATGTCGACTTTAATTATGAAGTTTCGAGATCGCTCGCTGCGTGTCAAGGCACGCTTCTTCTAGTAGATGCCTCCCAGGGGATACAAGCTCAAACGGCTGCAAACTTCTGGTTGGCGTTTAACCAAGACCTAACAATTATTCCCGTTATTAACAAAGTACTTTGCAAAGTTCTGCTATATATTCTATTTTCGAGCCTCCAACATTTTTTAAGACATTTGTATCGATAGATAGACCTCGAAGCAGCAGACACTGAACGAGTAATTAATCAGATAGAAAATTCATTTGAACTAGACACCAAAGACATATGTAGGGTTCGTATTTTTGACAAGCTCTTTATGACGCTTTGTCTATTTATGTCGATTCATTACGAAACAAGTTTTTTTTAGATATCTGCAAAATCAGGACTCAATGTTGAAGATATTTTGCCAATTGTGATTGAGAAAATTCCACCGTATGCATATTTAAAATCTTGTATTGTTAAATATTGGTTGATCGATATATTCTCTAAACTCTTATTTAACAGTCCCAGCGGAGACATTAATGGGCTATTGAAAGCTTTTCTCTTCGACTCTTGGTATGACACTTATGTTGGGGTAATTTGTTTAATGGCAATAGTTGATGGAAAGCTACAAAAAGGTCTGGCATCCCAAAATATGAATGAATCATGCATGATGAGTCCTAGTTGAATCAAGTACAATTCTTCTCTAGGTGATAAGATCGTTTCGGCACACTCAAACCTCAAGTACGATGTAGCTGATATTGGAATCATGCATCCTGAACGGTTTTCTACCGAATACTTGTGCGTAGATATTCTTTGGGAGATGCATTTTTATTAGATTTTACATTGACGGTTTATAACATTTCAGGCATGCTGGTCAAGTGGGATATGTTATACTCAATATGAAAATAGCATCTGAAGCTCATATAGGTGACACGTTCTATCATCACAAACATCCGGTAGATCCGTTACCAGGGTTTGAGCCAGCAAAACCGATGGTAACTTGTTGTGTTATTTTACGTGCTCATCGGTTCATGTGATTTAAAAAATCCTTGTTCTTTTGACCAGGTATTTGCCGGTATTTTTCCTATAGATGCAAATGAATTTAACAGACTCGATGAGTCAATCACAAAGTTAACGTTAAATGATGCCAGTGTTTCAGTACAAAAAGAGACAAGGTAAGCACATCATTAGCAATATCTACATTACTTTTTCGTGGTATTATCGGTCACTCATGCAAATATAGCATGGCATTGGGTCAAGGTTGGCGCATTGGATTTCTGGGAACATTACACATGGATGTATTTCGGCAGAGGCTAGAAGAAGTAATGACGATTATGTGTCGACAATTGAAATTTTATTCCAAGTCTATAACACTTATTATATTCTAGGAATATGATGCCAGTGTTATTGTCACTCAACCAACTGTTCCCTATAAAAGTATCGCTTTATGATTTCCATATTTTTATCTTGTTTTTTCGTGTTTTTTTGCTGAGTAAACGTCAACACGTCGATCACCATTGTGTTAGTTGTTTATCGCGATGGGACGTCAAAATTTGTCCGTAACCCTTCCGAGTTCCCGGAACAAAATGAAATGTCAAATAATGTCGTCCAACTGCAAGAGCCCATGGTGATGGCAACTATCATCGTGCCAAATGTGAGTAGAAAGAGATTTCTTTGTGACGTTTAGAATTTTACGCGATTTTCTGATGATCATCTTATTAGGAATACTTGGGTAATGTGATGGACCTTTGTGGAGTAAGATCGAACTTGATTTTTGACTTGACACATGGATTCCTTTCTTATACGTTAACCATGTATTGATAAATAATTAAAAGGCACATCGAGGGGAGCAGATCGAATATAATTCTCTGGATGAATTACGCGTGATGATGAGATATGCTCTCCCGCTTGCAGAGATAGTGACAGATTTTCACGACGAATTGAAATCGAGATCGAGCGGCTACGCAAGGTTTGTTGCCACTATGCGATCCTGCTTGTCCTAGATTTTATGGACCTCAAGAGATTTTATTTATCATTTAGTTTCGACTACGAAGACATGGGATATCAAACATCGGATGTTGTTAAGGTGAGTTTAATTTTCATGTTTGATCGTCAATAAATAACACAGTTAATCAATCCTTCTCGTATTCAACTTTGAACGAGAAGATGAATGTATTGATCAACAAGAAGCCGGTAGATGCGTTAGCTGCCATACTACACAGATCTCAGGTAGCAACGGTTGGTCGAGATTGGGCAAAGAAGTTGAGTGACGTTATCCCAAAGTTGGTATCTCCTCACAGTGCAGAAGATTTTTACTAGCAAGAAACCTTGATGATTTCAATCCTAAAATTTTTAGGCAGCTATACGAGGTTGCGATTCAAACTGCCATCGGCGGAAAAATTGTAGCGAGAGAAACGTAAGCGAGTTGTTCGTTTGATTAAGTTCAATTTCCTCGGAATGTACTTATAGTCGACATTTCCTTATCCACAGAATACCAGCAATTAGGAAAAATGTCACGGCAAAATGTGTAGGCATTTCGAGATGACTTTAAATAATCTATCGACCTTACCACACTCACAGTTCCTGATTCATATAAATAGTACGGAGGAGATGTAACACGTAAAATGAAGCTGCTCGAAAAACAGAAAGAAGGAAAAAAGAAGATGAAGATGATTGGCAAGATGAATTTAATAATGAATGAAATTGACGTTCATTTGTTAGACTTTAATTAATTTCAAATGTCCTTACAGGAAACGTTGAATTGCCACAGAAGGCTTTCTATGATTTCCTATCAAAAGGCTCAGGAAATGCTAAGTCGAAGAATAAATAAGCTGTGCCGGATCGTCGAACGATTTAAAGTATTCAGAGGTATACAACATCTTTTATCATTCCAATGACTTCAAAAAAATATTTTTCTGCAGACAGTATTTAACCGTCGCGAACTCACTTTGGAAAGCACGAAAACAGTTATTGCGATTAATTGAAACAATGGTATCTATAAACACTTAGACACAACATATACTATAGAAAATAAAATGATACTGTAGTGCGACAATAATTTTTTGATATTTTTAAAATCTCTACTGTATGTGAATTCCACCAATGTCTCGCTACGTAAGATTTTATCATTGATCTCTATAAAAAAAAAAAAAAAAAAAAAAAACCTCATCATCCAAATTTACATTTCCCTTAAAACTTTAAATAACCTTAAGCTTTTTCCATTTTAATCCATTTTCCACAAATGATTCGTTATCCAGTATTCCTTTATCCACGTAAAATTGGTAGAGATCAAAATGACTGTTCCCGGGGAATTTCATGCCAAACAAAAAATTCAAAGGCCTGTTCGTTAATCTAAGCTCAACGCTTTTTAGAAACGCTCTAAAGCTGTCATAAGTAAACACCCAGTTGGCTTTAAACCAAAGCTTACGTAAATTGAGTGGAAGCAAACGCCCCCATGTTGGTAGTAATATAGATATGTTGATCTCATCGAGTATGCGTTCTTGTCCATAAGAGCAGAGCTGAACGAATTTAATGACCTCCACACGGTTGAGCGCCTTCAGCAGTGACACAGTAGATAAGAATTTCTCTTCCGGAATAGTTAGTTCTATTTCTGATAAATTTCCACACGTTTTCTTGATAGCATCGAACAATGCATCATAGACAATGCTTACTTCCCCCTCGCAGGTTTTCCACAGTAAACACAATGATTTTAATTGCCCATCGGTTTTACGAATCATTTTTATGTGAGTGTTGCTCAAACAGCTAAGGACAAGTTCCAACTTTGTTAGAAAGGGAAACGAAGCCAATGATCCAAGATCCAAAGAAGATGGACTAAATGAATTGGATATGCACAATTTAAATTCTTCTAAATTTGTACATTCCGCAATCCAATTGAGTGAAAATTGATACGTTCGGATAAAATCATGATGATCAATTATAGTCAAATGGGTGAGAGAAGAAGCTTTGGCCTTGACCGCACGATGAACCAATGGAGACCATTTGGGGTGTCCTTTAAGTACGATTTTTAATTTTCGCAAATTGTTTTGAGCTTGAATAAATGATGGTAGTCCTTCCTTGTGCTTATTATGGTCCGTAATCTCCAAATCTTTGATGTTTGTTGCTATCTGTGCCAACTCATACCAAATTTCCGATGGAATATCAACTATTTTAAAAATAGGTCAAACAATTAGCGTTTACGATGAAATAAATAATCACAATAGAGCTGGAAAACATATAGTCATTGTCACCATCACTTGAAAATTTTTCAATTCGGGCAAAAAATTGTTCGGCTCCCGGTAAGTAACATAAAATTGGCAATATATCACTTTTGATCTCATTCTTCCTTAATTGAAGTTGGATGGAATCAATGTTGCCAAATGAAAGAAATTTTATCTTAACGGATTGAGCAATAAACATCTTGTATAATTCTTTGACGATCACATAATGCGCGAAATCATTTTGTTCCGATGAATTAGCCGAAAGCCACCATCCTACCGTATCATAAAGATAAAGATGGTTGAGTGTTGTCAAAGTGGACGAATAGTCGAACGTCGGACGATTTTCTATCATAAAATTAGGCAAAACAACTCCAACATCCATAATGATTCGTTTTGATTTATCGTTAAGACACCAAATGTATGTCTGTGCAAGCGATATTTTGCTATCTTTATACATTTTGACGCGCTTTTTTGCTGTCGGTATATATTGATCGTATTTATGACGAGAATAACGAAATCCGAATGGGTTCTTCCATAGATAGCGAACAGCGCTGGCACACCAAGCACGATTAACAAGGACACAACTCCTTAAGTCGACATAGGAAAGATCCTTGAAGACTTGTTCGAGAGTTTCAGGCGGAAGTAGAGAAGACATGCCCTTTTTTTTGAGTTGAATTAACGAATTTGGTTCTATTTAAAACTTCTATAATTTACTCTCCTGTTCCGAGAATATTTACAACATGTATAGTTAAGGTACTCGACAACCTATTAACCTACAAAATCACAAAATTTATAATACCTTTGGCTCGACGCGTTGGGAGGAAAGACAAAAGTGAAGATCGGTGTGTATCCAAATCACACCCTATTAAATTATTGTTTACGTATCTGGAATTACTATATTTGGAGATTTATTGTGTAATGAACAATTTTAACAAATTATAATAAAAATTATTTAATATATTGTATTGTTTAGTAAAGAAAAAAAATCTTTTATAAATAACTTTTAACACTCACAAGAATTACTTTATTTTTATTATTTTTATTATTTTAATTATTTTAATAGAAATAATTTAAACAAACTTGTTTATGATCGGGTGTCAAGTTAGAAATTATTTTTATGTCGTGAGTAATATATTCCAAGTTATACATACACACGTAATTATATGACATATAATTACTAATATAATTTTATGGTAATCAATTATTTTAAATATTCATAAATATGTAGGAATTTATAAATAAAATGATTTTTTTGCATTCGACAGGAGATCCTAATCTCATGCTTGCATATTTTAATTTTATTACGAAATTATTGAAAAAAATTTATTATTCGATTTAAACTTTTTCTTATCAATAAATAAACACATGGCATCTAATAAAAGCATATCATATTATATGTAAAATAAGAAACAAAAAAAAATGTATATTGTTAATATTTTTATTTACAATTCTAATTTAACAAACAATTATATTAATTTGATAATAATTTTTTTTAAAAAAAGTTTTTTTTCAATATTTAAAATCGATCATTATAATTTATTTAATCAATTACTGATAAAAAAAATTTACTTCAATATACAAGTTTTTTGAATATTTGAAAAATTATGATTTATCAATAAAAATACAAAATAAAATTTAATTTAATTAATTATTTAATGAATTATTGTTTTTATTTAATCTAATCTTCTTTTATTATAAATAAATATGAATGTAAAAATTTATTAAATATTATATTTGTGTTATTAAATTAATATTTTTATATGTTTTTAAATATATATAATATATAGTTCAGTTCAAAAAAAAAACCCTCCAGAATTGAATTTTTCTTATAATTTGATAAATAATAATTTAAATTAAATAAAACTTTTAATATATATTATTTATAATAA